TGGGAGGCAGGGCCTATGATTATCTCCATTTTACAGATGAGGAAACAGAGGCATGAGATGAAGTCACTGGCCAAGCCACAGAGCTGTATGATAGTGGAGCTGGGCCTGGAACCAGGTTTCTTCCCCACGTAATCCTAACTGGTCTCCTTGCCTTTGGAGTCCACACTGCTTGTAGCTCCAGGGCTGTCTTACTAGAACTCATATCATGTCAGTGTCATGCTTAAAAACAAACCCTGTGTTTTCATGCCTTCTACCTTTGCACATATTGTTTCTCTTGCCTCATGCACCTTCCCCCACAGTTCTGCCTAGGTTCATCTCATGAACCCAATGCTGTCCAAAGTCATCCATTCAGAGCGACGTTCCTACTCCCATCTCCAACTCCCATAGTGTAGATGCTTCCATCACAGCAGTGACTAAGAGAGGCCCACAGTCTTTCACTCCTGCAGGTTAGATTGGCCCCCTCAGGTAGACCTTGGGGTGTGCTTGGAGCTAGGCGGGTTCTAAGGCATCTCTTGGAAATAAATTACTCTAGGCTTCCTCACAGTGGTCTTTCGGTTCAAGGGCTGCTGGCTCCAAGATTGGCTGATTTCACCAGAGAGAAGACTTAACTTAATTAGCTTGATTGTAAGAGGCATGGTTCGCCCATGCAACATTTTCACATGGCTGTGATCAGAATGTGTCTTACAATTGATATGCACATGTAACAGGACACTGTACCACTTAATCCCACCCCAGCTGCTATTAAATCAGTCAGATGGCTTACATTTGATGCACATTATAAGCAAGAGAATACACGATTTGTCATATTAGAATGAGATTTTTGATGTGACCTATCTGTCACCACAAACTGCACTGCCTGTAACTGAATCACCGCTCTATTTGGGGTGTTTTCTGTACATTCATGGGAAAGAAACACATTCAATGACTTGATTCATTCTTGAGATTTCCACAGTGTGTTTGTCTACAACAGCAATGAGCTGCAATAGAATGAGCATAGGCTTTGTCAGATGGGTTCAAGTTTGAATCCTTGCTCTTTTGCCCACTATCAGAGAGGCCTTATGAAATATACTTCTGTGCCTCAGTTTCTACCTCTGTAAAATGAGGACAGCACTAGTCAACTTCTTGAATGGCACATGCTTCTTTATAACCTTTCCACAGTGGTGCATTTGTGTAATTACTAGAGCTACTGTCTACCTCGTCCTGCTGGGCTATAGACTTTAGGAAGGAAGATCCAGGGCTGAGTTTGCTCTTGACTGTATATCCAACACATGGTAGGCACTCAATACGTTTTCACTCCCCCCCTCCCCCTCATCTGACTGCTATCAATTGAGACCATTTCAGAATAAATGGGATATAATTCAGTGAGTGGCCAGATGCTGAATGTACCTGCCTTAGGTGGATCTTCTCTTTGTTATGTTTGTTCTAATGTAGCTACCAGTTGCCATCTCCCTGACATTTTCTCCTTGGAGTTGTTCAAGTGTAGCCTAGTATAGTCTGTGAGACCTGAATTTTGAAAGCCTAGGTGTCTCCAAGTTGGGGTGTAGAAGGTGTATAAGAGATGTTTCCCTGATGCTTTTTTGCTGTGGAAGGCAGATTGCAGGGTAGCTATGGACACAGGTTTTGAAGTCAGACAGCCTGGATTGGAATCCCTGTTGCAGCTCTCACTGGCATTACCACCACTCATCTAGAAGAGGGGTAGTAATAATGCCTGTTCTGTCTTAGAGGGCTTCGAACTAGTTCAGTCATGGCCAGCACAGTGCAATTGGAGGTAGGTATATTAGAACAGTAACCGAAACAGAAAAATTATAGGTTGAAAACCCAGAATGAGAGACTTGGAAGAGGTATAGTGAGCCCTTTCAGGAGTCTGACACAGGGGATTGGATTATGGCCAGGGCTGTGGAGCACCACACATTCTGAGTCGAGGTCGGCTGCCATTTTTTAATTGGGCACTGTTGTTTCCAACTGTGGCTATGAAGAGATTTAGTTGCTATGCAATGTGCACGTTACCCTTGTTTTCTAAGAGGAAGATTAAGTTTCTAGCAGGGAGTCAACTTGTAGTTTTTTCCATTCTAGTACACCCACATTTTACAAATTTGGGTCCATTTTGGTGTTCTTCGTTGGCCATGACTAAACCAGGAAGAACTGGTTTGAAGCCCTGCTCAGAGGTAGGCTTTTGTAAAGAGCAAATGACACATCAGTATCGGGTAAGTTCCTATGAGACTGATGCTAGGCATTCTGTAGGACAGCAATCAAAACAGGCTCAACAGCTGGATGTGCTGGGGGTCAGGATAAGAGAAGTCAAGGTACCTTGAATAGGGCAGTAGAGTGAAGTGGGGAAAGCCATGGGCTTTGGAACCAGACAGACCTTGGTTGAGTCTCATATAATCAATAACTGAGCTAGTTACTTAACCTCTCTGAACCTTCTAGAACCTCTTAGTGTTGTGGTGAGGATGAACTGCGACGTAATGCATGTGCCCTACAAAGTCCATTGGGTAAATCACTGTGGGATAGAAGAATGAATGGTGAATTGGCTTAGTAGTTCTGCCCATGAACTTGCAGTGATTGTGTGTAGTCCCCTTCTGGACCATGTGTTTCACACATTTTTGTCTGTTCTATCATGACAGTTTTGTTGTTGTTGTTAAGTACCATGGAGTTGGTTCTAACTCATAGTGAACCCTGCACAGGGTTTCCAAGGCTGCAGATCTTTACAGGAGCAGAAAGCCTCATCTTTTCCCACAGAACAGCTGGTAGTTTCAAACTGCTGACCTTGAGGTTAGCAGCCCAATTCGTAACCACTACGCTACCAGAGCTCCTGGTACTTTTAGTGAGTAAAAATCATCATCATTTTTATGAGCCAGGCCCATGAAGTCCATGCCACGGCTTAGCCTGACTTTCTAAAGAGCACAAAGAGCCACCATCTTTCCAACTGGTGCAGGGAAACCTGTGGCTTCAGTAGCCCCAGACACATTGTACTAGATAAGCAAATATTTCACATTTTTCAGTATGCTTCCAAGAGCTCCGAGGGGCCACAGGACAGAAGCTACTCTCCTGAGCTAAGATGCACCAGAGTTGGCTGTGGCCAGAGTGGTGGCCAGACTTGGTGATAGGGTTAGGACATGGGGAAAGGTCTTTGCCTCTACTTCTGTAACCCCAGTACAGGCCTGGCTGTTGGTCCTTTTGCAGCCCTGAAATAGCTCACTTTTTTCATCCACTGAGGTCCTGATGGGAAACCAAAAGACAGACAAGTGGTGCCTGTGGGGCTGGAAGGACACTCTTCCTGGAAGGCTGCCATCAGATGCACCTGGCCCTTTTCTCACTTTTCCTCAGTGTGGACTTTGAGGATCATTCAGACATATGGCAGGTAGTCTCAGCCCCAAACCCAGACATAAAGCACCCACCTCAGTTTCCTGGAAGGACCCCCAGTGTAGGTGGTGGTAGTGCCACAGCATCCGCTCTGCCTTATAAAGATACTCTGAAAACTCTAGCAAGGATGCATCCAGGATAAGGAAGAAAATTGGGTCTCTGGTCTTCCCTCTCTGTATTCTGCTTCTTACGGTTAATAGTATCACATTTTCTGAGGGTTTGCTATACACCAGGCACTGTGCCAAGGCCTCATCATAGGTACTCCTCCTAGGAAGCAGCAGGGTGGGCACTCTGAAGCCACACCTCCAGTTCAAATCCCAGCACTGGGCATGTCACTGAACCACTTTGCCTCAGTTTCCTTACCTTTAAAATAGAGGATAATAGTACCTTCATCATAGGGTGGTTGTGAGAGTTTTAGAAGATCAGTGTGCTGCCAAGATTAAATGTAATATACATCTTAGCTGTTACTATGATGTGGACACTATTATTATCCCATTTCACAGGGAACTGAGGCTTAGAGGCTAAATGTTATACTAGTCACTTGCTAGTAATTAAGAGAACCAAGATTTGAACCCAGCTCACTAGCACTACCCTATTTTGCCTTGCTTTGGAAAAAATACCATGTGGGGTACATTTGGCCATCTTTGAAAGTGGCATTCTCAACTTTCCTTAGAGCCCTAGTGAAAGGAGATCCTTTTTTGAGTAGCCAAACTGGGCTCTGGGAGCTCTCATAGTCCCACAGCCGAGGCAATAGCTGACCCATGACACACATATCATAGAAGGAGAAGGGCGGGATCAGTGAAGAATTTCTGTTTGGAAGTTTATCTAATGCTGAGCGCTTTCAAGGGACTTGATAGGTGGAGCTCTCACTGTCCCCCCTGCTGAGGTGCCAGGGGAGCCACATCCTCTCCCATCTCCTGGCTGCAGTAACTGTCCAGGCCTAGGAGGGATCAGGAATCCTCAGACATGGAGAGGAAGTAGGGCCAGCACTTGCCCCATGTTACAGAGGCAGAAAGCTGTGACATGTCCCTTCCAGGGCTGGATGCCTCTGCTCCTCTCTTACCAGCTGGAGGGAGGTGAGCAGAGGCTGCTTGGCTCCAGGGAGCTTTCCCAACAAGGGCAGCATCAGTTTTGGCTTTTGCCTTTTACCTTTTGCCTTGGTGAAGTCTCTAGCCAGGGTCCATAGAAAGGCAAAGTATATAAACGGACTTCCCAAGTCCCCCAGCTGCTCTGTCATCTGTGACTCCTTCAACCTACACACTACTCACTCACCAGCACACACACCCCTGCTGCCAGGCTGTGCCCCGGAGTCCCTCTGCCTCTACCGCAAAAGCTCTTTGTCTGAAGAAAGAAAGGAGCTTCCTGATGCAACACTTGAAATCTCAGCACGTAATCCCTAAAGGCCACCCCCTGCCCAGGTGACCACAGGTTCTGCCCCCAACATATGTCTTACTTGACTCCAGGTGAGAACAGGAGCGACACCCTCTGGACTTCAGATACACACACGCCCCCAGCTGGAGGGGTCAGGACTCTTGAACCCTGAGCCGTGGGGCTAGGTGTTGCCCCTCACCCCTTGCTCCTCTGTGCCCACAGAGCTGGCCCCTTACCTCTTCAGTCCCACTTGGCTTCAAGAGCAGCTCCTCACATGCTTCACCTTAGCCGTCAGTGGGGCAGCCTTTCCATGGCCTCTAGGAGGGGTCCTCGAGTTGCAGGCCAAACCGGCCGCCCAGTAACCCTGCCTTGCTGGTCTCTGCTCACTTTGCCTCCACAGCAAAGCTATGGCAGGGATGAGGTGGGAGCTGGCCGGGGGTCCTGCTGGGGTCTCGCAGAGCCTGCCTTCTCTCTCAGCAGGAGCCTTACTCTGCAGGTCTGGAGGCTCAGGCAGTGCCGCTCAGGGCTGGGACTCCATTCTCACTCCGTCTGAAGCAGCCTCATTTGAACTCCTAACTCCTTTGTGGAGCCTTTACATGCTGCCGGAGGAAACTGTGAGCACAGCCTGACCCTGGTTGGCTGCAGGCACTTCTCTCCACCCACCAGTGCAAGAGGATCCCCCAGGCCCCAGAAAGGCTCCAGGCCTCCCCCCAGCCCCAGACAGAGGCGGGCCGCCCGCCCGGTGATGTCACACTAGCTCCGGCCCCAGCTGGCCCAGCCCCTCCCGCCCTAGTCTGGCTTTGGCGGCCTCTTAGGCCCCCTCCTTCCTTGGCAAGGACAGCCTGGCCAGCTCTGCTCCCTGGCCCGCCTGCTCCCAAAAGCCCCAGCAACTCCTGGTGCACTCCGTGGAGACTGAGAGTTTCCCCTTTGACTCCGGTAACGGTAACGGGTTTAGATCCGCTCCAGCTGTGCAGGCAGTTGTGAGTCGGATTCTCTCCTGCATCACTCCCTCACCTGTGCATTGACCCCAACAGTTCCAGGTGGGCAGGCAGCCCAGCCCAGACAGCCTCTCCCCATCAGACTCACTCTTATCTGTAAACCCCAGAGAGGGAGCCCAACGTGTCAGCACAGAAGCTAGGCAGTGTCTGTGCTGCTTAAAAGCTTTCTGGATGCCATGGCTTAGGACAGTGGAAATACTGCAGGCTGGGGGTGGGGGGTGCAGTGGGCAGGGTGGTGACATGGGAGGCAATATTTGTGTTCCGCCTGAGTGCCCTTAATGAAGTCACATTACCTTCCTTTCATGCATCTCTGTAAGTGAGTGAATATTAGTAGTCTGCCTCCAAAGACTGCAGCCAGGATTCTGTAAGGTTACGGGTGAAGTGTTTGGCACTGGGTCAAGGGTGCTGTCAGTGAACTGAACTAAGGACTCTGGAGTTAGTGGACCAGAGGCCACAGTCCCAGAACCTCTCCTGTGTGATCCTGCTCAGCCTTTTTCATCAGAATGTGATCTCCATTAGTTCTTCTTCTGTTGTTGTTGTTGTTGAGTAGGTTTTGACTCACAGCGAATCTATATAGGGTTTCCGAGGAGTGGCTGGCTGGTGGGCTTGAACCACCAACCTGTTGTTCAAACCGACCTTGCAGTCTAGCATATTAACCTGCAGCACCACACCAGCACTCCCATTACCTCTTCTAGGAGCAGATAATGTAACTCTATCCACATCTTCAACTCAGTGATGATTTATAGACTAAAACAAGCAAGAAGACTGGCATTGGACCCTACAAAGTAAACATCCTGCAGACATCATTGGCATTGATGAGGAGAAGGCACAGAGGAGATACTCAGGCAAAGGAACAGAGATGTGGAAGGGGGATAAGGATGGTAAGGGAGCATCAGGGCACAGTTTTGTCTCTCTGCTTGGACAGTGGTTGTGACTTGTCCTCACAGAGCTCACATTCTAGATGGAAATAGACCTAGGGTGGCACATGAGAAATGCTGGACACTAAGGGCGTATACCCACCACTTGTCTATTTGTTGTACTGTGGTAGCTCTGTGTGTTGTTGAGAGACAGATTTCAATGGAGCTTCTAGACTAAGACAAATTAAGAGAAAGGAGAGGAGGACCACTTCTAAAAGGTAGCCACTGTAAACCTTACTAGTTGTTATTGTTGTTATGTGCCATGGAGTCGGTTCCAACTCATGGCGAGCCTGTACAGGGTTTTTGAGGCTGTATGTTTTTATGGGAGCAGAAAGCCTCATCTTTCTCCCACGGAACAGCTGGTAGTTTCGAACTGCTGACCTTATGGTTCGCAGCCCAATTTGTAACCACTACATTAGATGAGCCCCTCAGGTTGGAAGGCACTCAAAATTTGACTAGGAAAGAACTGATTCCTCAAAATAGAGTTGACCTTGATGATGGATGGAGCAAAGCTTCTGGGACCTTCATTTGCTGATGGTGCACAAATCAAATTGAGAAGAAACAGCTACAGATATCCATTCATAATCAGAACAAGGAGCATACAAAGTATGAATCTAGAAAAATTGAAAGTCAACAAAAATGCAATGGAATGCATAAAAATCAAACTTAGGCATTAATGAGCTGAAATGGATAACTCTTAGCCATTTAGAATTGGACAGTCTAAATGGTTTACTATGCTGAAAATGACAAATTCAAGAGGAATGCCATCAAATGCATCTTCAAAGTGAACAATTCAAGATCTGTCTTTAAGTACAATGCTGTCGGTAATACGATAGCTTACAAGGAAGACCAGTCAATTCAACTACTGTTCAAATGTACGCACTAACCACTATATTGCCAATGGTGAAAAAAGTTGAAGAATTCTACCAACTTCTTCAATCTGAAATTTATATAAAATGTAATAAAGATTGCAGTAATTGAAAACTACTGGTAATTTCACTGTCAAATTGGAAACAAAGAAGGTTCAGTAGTTGGAAAACATAGCCTCAGTGATAAAAAGATGGTGGAGATCACATGATAGAATTTTGCAAGACCCAAAGACTTGTTCATTGCAGCTACCTTTTTTCAATAACATAAACAGTGACTGTATATGTGGACTCCTGGTATGGTGCTGTAGGATAAGCATTGGACTGCTAACCAAAAGGTTGATGGTTCAAGCCCACCAGCCACTCCTCAGAAACACTATATAGGGTCACTATGAGACACAACCTACTTGATGACACTCCGCAACAACAGCAGCATACACGTGGTCCTCACCAAATGGAATACACAGGAATCATATTGACTACATATGTGGGAAGAGACGATGGAAAAGCTTGACATCATCAGCCAGAACAAGGCCAGGAGCCAACTATGGAACAGACCATCAATTGCTCATTGCAAATTCAGACTAAAGCAGAAGAAAATTATGTTCATGAGATGTTGGAACTGTAAAGGTAGGTGTTTTACAGCAAAAAAAAGAGGGGAGCAGTTGATCTTGCAGTCCAGGTATGGAGGACCCTGGGACCATAAAGGGAGAAGAGCGGGAGCGGAGTGTGGGACCATATTCAGAGAAACTGCAAAGGAAGAGATGATGACGTGGAGAAATGGAGTGGCTGGTGACTCCAGACTCATGGAGGGAGAGGGGCTGTGTGCTGGTAGCTGGGGCAGGCTCGCAGGGTACGCCCTTTGGGTGTTTGAATGATCGCATATTCTTGAATGTTTTGGTGTACATCAAAAAAAAAAAAAAAAAAAGATCTTTCTTCTTAGTCTGCCTAATGTTTCAACGAGGGTTGATGGGGATGGAGAGAGAAAGAATGGGGTTGGGGATGAATAGATAATACTTTATGAAATTGAATACCTTGGGAAATTCAGTAAGGATGAATTTAATTGACTTCTGTTACATGTTTTTAAGTAATAAAAAGACAACAATGATTTGTAAAATGAAAATAAAAAACATGTTCATGACAGTCAGAAATAGGACCTTGAATATATTCCACCTGAATTTAGAAACCATCTCAAAAACACATTTGATGCATTAGACACTAATGACTGAAGACCAGAAGAGTTGTGAGCTACATCAAGAATATCATACGTCAAGAAAATAAAGTGGCATTCAAAAGACAGGAAAGAAAGAAAAGACCAAAATGGATGTCAGAAGAGGCTCTAAAATTTGCTCTTGACCATAGAGTAGCTAAAGCAATTAGAAGAAATGATGCAGTTAAAAAGAAGAGCACCCCTTTGACCTAACCTCAATGGCTTGGTAATCAGAACTCAATTAGAAGAAGATAAAAAAGAAAGCAATTTTTTATAGAGGAAATGAGGGTAAATTGCTACAATATGATATTCAATATTCATGGAGATATTAGCTCAAAATACCAACAGAGAGGGAAGAAATCTTCACATCAAGTATCAATGCTATCCCCTCTGTACACAGGGTAGATAGGGACGGGCAACTTAGACACTGGCTACCTAAAATGAGACGTGGGGGTGGGGGGGTGGATAAAGGCATGAAGTGTCTAGCTTACAAGGTTTCAAGAGGGAGTTTAAGAGTGTATGTGGGAAGATAGAGTCCCCACTGAATAGTTTTCATCTTGTCTAGATGAGTCTGGTAAAAAGAGATGGGGATAATATTCTTATGATTCAATAGTGAGTAATTGTTATCATGACTGATTGCAACTGTCACAGTTGTACAGGTAAAAGTTTTGTAACAAAAACAAGGAAGTAGTTAATCTTACAGTCCAGAAACAAAGGACCCTAGGACCATCAAGGGAGAAGAGCACAAGCAGAATGCGGGACCTCATCCAAAGAAGCGGTGACACCAGCGTTGGGGGCAGAGATGGGGACATGGAGAGAGGGAGAACGGAGGACTCTAGATTCAGGGAAAGAGAGCTGGCAGCCAGGAGGCAGACTTGCAGAATGTGCCCTTTGGTGGTTTAAATTATTATATATGCCTGAGTGTTTAAAAAAAAAAAGAGCTAAAGTGAATAGACTCCTCATTTCTTCCCAGAAATGAGGAGGTCCAAGAGCTGAACAGAAAAATTCAAAGATCAGCTTGAGAAGATAAAGCCAAATATTACAACAAAATGTGCAAAAGATCTGGAATCAGAAAACCAAAAAGGAAGAACACGCTCAGCATTTCTCAGGCTGGGGGAACTGAAGAAAAAATTCAAGCCTCGACTTTTGTTATTTAAAGATTCTCTGCAAATTACTGAATGATGCAGAAAGCATCAAGAGAAGATGGAAGGAATACACAGAGTCACTGTACCAAAAGGAAGTGGTTAATGTTGAACCATTTCAAGAGGAAGCATATGATCAAGAGCCAATGATACTGAAGGAGGAAGTCCAAGGTGTATTGAAGGAA